AAAACGTAAAACACATTTTAATGTGATTGGACGTATGTATTCAGTGAGTCCGACACAGTCAGAACTGTTTCATCTTCGCTTACTTCTGATAACAGTTAAAGGTGCTACTAGCTTTGAGAACTTAAGGACAGTTAATGATCAATTGTATGATACGTTTCAAAGTACATGTTTAGCATTGGGGCTTATCGAAGATGATCAGGAGTGGGATCGTGCCCTGACTGAAGGAGAAATTTGGATGATGCCCCGTCAACTTAGACATTTATTTGTACGTATTTTAATATATTGTCATCCAAATCATCCAGAACAGTTATGGGAGAAATTCAAAGATGCTTTTTCTCAAGATTTCCAACGAAATCATAATGAAGCTGAATCTTACAAGAGAGCATACGCACACATCGATACACTTCTTATGAATGAAAGATCGTGTATAAGTGCATTTGCGACGATGCCACAATTGATTGAATGCGAAACAGATATTGATATTGATGATGTCAATGATAATCAGTCGTCATTGGAAACACACGTAAGCATGGGTCGAATTCAATACAATCAGTTGAATGTGAAACAAAAAGAGATTGTTGACAAGATTTTGAATGTAGCTATGTCTACCGATGAACGCTCATCTTCCTGTTTTTATATTGATGGTCCAGGTGGCTCAGGGAAGACATTTGTATACACAACATTGTATCATTTATTGAAAGCTCAAGGAAAATCAATTTGTACAATGGCTTTCACAGGAATTGCAGCCATTTTACTACCTCATGGAAAAACGCTACACAAAACTTTTGGTATACCTGTCCCGCTATTTCCAGACTCGGTTTCTAATATAAAGAGTCAATCGAAGGACGCTGAATACTTGAGAAATGTTGATATTTTCATCTGTGACGAAGCTCCTATGGCGCCAAGGTCTGCATTGGAATTAATTGATCGAACATTACGTTATCTGATGGATAATGACTCCCCATTTGGTGGAAAAATTATGCTATTAGGAGGAGATTTTCGACAGTTACTACCAGTTACTCCAAATGCTACGAGATGTGAGTTAGTGAATTCATCGATCAAATTCAGTCCTTTATGGAAATATTTCACAATATTTGCATTATCAGAGAATATGCGCACTTTACCTGGAGAGATTGAATTCGCAAAATATCTCTTATCTTTAGGTAATGGAGAATTAAATGATAATGATAATAATCTATTGCCTCCAGAACAATGTATAGCTTCAAATGCTGATGATATCGTAGAAGTGATATTCAAAACAGTTATTGACGAACGCCGTTTCGGAGACTTGGCAAAAACCGCGGTGTTAGCCGCGCGAAATGTCGATGTCGATGAAATTAATGGCAAAGCAATTGAACTCCTAGATGAATCTACTGAGCGTAGATACACAGGTATTGATAGTGTAGAAAATTGTGACAATGGAGACATCAATGATGCAATTTTACCAGAATATTTGAATACGCTCAATCCTCCTAATTTTCCACCGCATGAATTACGATTGAGAAAAGATTCGATAGTTATGCTACTTCGAAATTTGAGTATTGATGAAGGTTTATGTAATGGGACCAGGTTACAAATCATAGACCTTTCAAACACTCTGCTACGATGTCGGATATTGACTGGAGACAAAACGGGGGATATTGTATTCATTAATCGTATAACATTGTATTGTGAGAACATCTTTCCGTTCACATTCAAACGACGCCAGTTTCCAATAAAACTAGCGTTTGCAATGACGATTAATAAAAGTCAAGGGCAAACTTTTGATAAAATTGGCATAGATCTCCGCAAGAATGTTTTCAATGATGGACAATTATATGTCGCATTTTCGAGAGTTCGTTCTTGGGATTCTTTAAAAATTTTCATGGGAAACGAGAGAGACACTAATCTGGTCAAGAATTGGGTATATACAGAATTATATAATTGATGGATAGATAAAAAATGATTCCCATTGACCGTTGGGTTTACTTGACATCCTATCTTCCTATTTCCGACCGTGAAAAAAACAATTCGAAATTAACTCGAAAAATTTTGATATATCCGTGCGTAAAAGGAAGAAAGGTAACGAACTCTGGATATTTTCTATATTTTATTTTTTGAAACGCGACAATCGTGAAACGTAAATGAAGATTGCAACTAAAACGCCACGAGGTGACGAAAAAAGAAGGCGCGTGCGTAGCACGCGCAGACGATCTCGTGGAAGAAAAAAAGATACGTCAGAGGCAGAGGGGGTAGAGAGGTGAAAAAAATCAAAGTAATGTGTGCTTGCCATGCGACATTTGATCTTATCATTTTGACACTGAACAACGGCGGGGTTTCTTGGGCACGGTTATAACCACCAGGCGTATAAAGAGTTACACGTACATACAAACAAGAAAATTCACAGTGGATGGATGCCGGGGATAGCATGGGGCTGGTCTGTGTCAACTGAATCATTTCGATTTGTATCAGATAAGATTGTATAACGAGAGATGGCTGGCTATGATTTAATGCCAATCATACGGAACCAAATTTAACATTCAACGTGCGACATATAGAGATCTTATGCATTCGAATATTAACCGTCTGAGATGCAGCCATGCAGACCTCACAGAGAAAAACAAATTAATTTTCGGGGACTAATCCCGGATTTTTCAAAATATTTCTATTGACTTTCAGATTTTTTTTCGCATTTAATTTATCAATTGAAGTTATTTATTTTTACGGAATATTAATAAACAAGGAAAATCGCTGAAGTCATTAGTAATTATATCATAGCTGTAATTAATTTATTTTTTGGTCAAGTTTTTGAGAAATTGTTTGAGTTATCAACGAGAAATTGATGATTGAACTAACTTGAATAATTTGTTAATCTACGCATTTTTAATCACTTATTGTGAATTTTTGATTATTTTCAATCTCTAATTTTTACTAACAAAATAAAAATTAGTGATCAATAATTACCGGTAAGTCTCGGAGAATTAAATATTTTTCTTCTGTGTTATTTCTCATTTCCATGACAATGACTATAAAAATCATATTCAAAAGGAGTCATTCGAGTATCGATTCACAAGCCAGAACGTTAATGGGGCATTAAAAATTGTGAGCATTAAATTAACGAATCTTAGGAGATCCCCAACGGACATACAATTACACATAAAAAATCTCCGATTTTTAAATCTCCAGCGAACAGCTAAATTGAGACAAGTCGAATTTTCCAATTAACTGACCCATCGACTCATTAAAAAAAAATTATTAATTTCCGGAGGAACCATTAAAAAATCTGACTCATGGAAAAAGGAATTACTAGCGAAAAAATCCTTTACCTCTTCCACCGTAAATCAATAATTTTCAATATGAATCTGTAATAACGAAAAATGAAAAATTCAACATATCCCACTTTACCACTCGTCTAGTGGATTATTATAAATAAACAATTGAAGCGCATTGTGAATCAGCCGTCATTCTACCTGGTCCCACTGAATTATCCGATATAATACTCTCATACTAATTATTCAAATTAATCTCTCCTCCCATAATGACTGAATTTACTCTGACGTGGCGCATGACCCGATCACTTCTCTCTTTATACATTTCTCTTACCCTGAAGACACGATTTCCAGATAGGGTGTCGGGGCTATACGTCTCCCATGTTCCATTCTCGAGCAATGTATCGCTATCACTCGATAGGTCGTATGCCCTCGAGCGGTTCTTCGATTTCTGTCGGGAAACCAAGAGTTACGGCGTTTTAACCTTCTCCTTTCTCATAAAAAATAAACATTCTGTATCGGTTTTGTCTCTTACAACATGTCGTTCTGTTGTTCTATTGATTATTTAATTTTTTCTATCAAGTATTACCGTAGTTGGTGTACGCTGGATTAATGGGCTAATAAAATATTAAGTACCATGGATTTTAACGTGAAATTGTGATATTACCGTGAACATAATACTAGCGTGGTTTAATGTGCGTATTTATTTGTGCGTTCATGGTGGCTTTATTTGTACACGATTGGTATTGTTGTGGTGATACTGTACACAGGAAATCCACGGGAAAATGCATTTGCAGTTTCACATTTATTGCTGATGTGTTATTATTTTTTTCATCGTCGAGGGTTGGGGGTAAAGCAAAAGCTACTGTTTCAACTCCACATCAATTATCGTTAAAGTACTGGGAGGTATATCACACCATCAAGGCACCTTGAAGAGGGAGGGGTAGGCACTTTATCCCAATGTTGCTATGAAATGCATTAGGATTGGCTGTTAATTCCAGGGGGTGGTGTAGGGGTGAGATTGAGTACGAGACAAAAATCAATAAATCAATAAATCCAAAATCCCAAAACTGTAACTACAGGGTGAGAAAAATCACTAGGTGTTGGGTACACGATGAATGAAAATTTGTACCTGGAATAGTGGCTTATCGATGTCGGACGTGGCTGGTATACGAACGGTGTAAAATTTCTGCTCGAATTCGGGCCCGTGGTCGTTGATATCTTCCACTTGAACGACCACACGAGTTGTTGAGGAGAGCGGGGGTGTTCCATCATCTCTAACTGTTACCTGGTACAAAATAAATCGTCGTTATTGAGTTATCAATCATTCTTTTCGGGTAGTAAATTCATGAGACGGGTATTTATTGCGGCCGGAGAAACAGTGCGAATTGATCGTTTTCCTGGGGTAGAAATTACTCCTCGGGAAATGATTAATTCAGGTGAAGCTTTTCGGGATCACTACTCAGGATTTTCCACGAAATCCTCAATACACGTGGTGAAAATTTTCAATAAGAGAACACGTGAAGACAAATGGCAATCCCGCGGTTCTATTATTACAGAAAAATCGCAAGCAATTGGCAAAAATGGTGTATGTATCTGAAAAAATTTCTAATTTGAATTTTTCCACGCGATAATGACTTTTCAAAAGAAAAATTCGTAATAATGTCAAAATCTCCCACAAAAAAAAAATCTACATAACATAATTATTTAATAAAAATACAATTACATAGCACATTATAGTTCTATCGTATGATTTATGACTGGATAACACATATGTGCTCCCATATATTCCGTAAATATCAGATATATTGCACACGGGGAAAAATATAGCTGGATAATTGAAATATATTTGGTATACGGATTTCCGTAGATTTCCGGGTAGAGAACGCCATTTGTAGGAAATAGCCGGAACTCTTCCAGAAAATTTGAGTGGAGAATTGAGAAGATTGCACCACAAAAGGAATCCTTGACAATGGAGACGGGTAATTTCCAGTTGATTCACCTAAACCTGGGCAGGCGTAAATTCAGGAATGTCTCCAAGGAGAGCCATCACATCGGAGCGGTAACACCTGCACTAAATTAGGGCTAGCAAACTCGGTTTTATCCGTGGTAGTCTAGCCTCCACGGTGGGTGGTTCTGCGGTATGGTTCCTCCTGATGGGTACATTGGGCAGAGAGACAGGGTTATTTCCACCCCCTCGAAACTTCATGCGGAGAACGTATTAGTCTTCGTTATATACGACAGTGGAAAGTTGAACCGATACGGGAGGCTTGAGCTTGGGCTTAAACTTTTACCCAACGTCGTTCAGAACATCTCCAAAATCTCCCAGGAGCATTTGAGAAGTGGCGCGGTAGATTAAACCGTTTTGCCCGACTTGATCACATCATTAACGACAACGTGCGGCAGGATTCAGCCGTGGATACGCCGTTACCAACTGATGGTTGTGCTTTAATGTATTACACGCCATAATCTTAAAATTAACTTTAATGTCTTCATTTCGATTAATTGAACTGCCTCGGTATGCATTGAAATCCCCCTCCGGTGATCATCCCACTCACCCTACCGTTATCTTATTTGAATATTTTTCGCTAAATCATCATTTTAAACTAACAATTTACTCCGTCATCTTCAAATTACACGGGCGAATCGAGTTTTTATTTCCACCGACAATTTATTCGTAATTCATGAACATGTTTTTTTTATCGTACCCAATGAAATTTTCTTCATTATTCAGAGACTGAATAAAATTATTGATTAAAATCGTATACATATTTTTCTTCAGGTTTTTTCTCTTCTTTTGGAGAAATTAACTCGTTCTGATGAAAATAATTGATGATATCAAACGAACAAGTTGTTTAAATCAATTAGACATTTATGAATAATAAGAGGAAATGTATTCCGAATAAAAATCCGTATTCAGTACAGAAAAAAAAAGCCAATCTTTAATTACCCTCGACCTCGCCCAATATTCTCAATCTAAGAAATTAATTCCCCTGCAATGAAATCTGGTGTCTTTGTTTCATTTCATCCCCAGGAAATGGAAAACCGAATTTCTGAGGAATGGGAATTCCCGGGGAAAGAAAAAGGTGATTGAAGGAGGAGCCGATGAAACTCATTTCCCACGGTATTTGTCCATTGCTCTCATCCCTCATTCAATTATTGAACGAAAGGAAGCCGCATAGTCCACCCCATTATCGACGACTAGAAGCTTCCTCAGGGCTTGTAATCTCATCGTAAAAATTTGAATCACCTCCATCTGAATTCACTGATATTTGAATTGCCGGTTGCGTATGGTTTTTCAAGTAGTGGCGAAGGTGCAGAGGGTGCAGAAGGTGTAGAGGGTGCAGAGGGTGTAGAAGACACGTAAAATTTTTTCTCAGTCTCCAGGACAATGGGGTAGACATGCCCTGGTGCAATCGGAAAACGCTTACCGTCGACTAAGCATGCCATTTGAAGCGGTTATAGATAAACGTTATCCCAGCACGAAGGAGGGATCGGGCAAGGGGAATAGCCTCTAAGTCTTGTACTCCCGTCGTTCCACGATTGCCATCGAGATACATACATAAGGAGGATTTTTTTCAGTGACTATTAAAAAAATGGGAAAAAAGTCAACAGGGAAAAATTATGCACGTAGTTGGTAAGAAAAATCGTTGTAAATTAAAGGCGTAACGTGATCGCGATTGCGACTACGGCAGTAGTCGCTTCTCTCGGTTTGCGTTTTTCCTTCACGCAAGTGGATGCATACAACCCTGGGCACGCGATATATATTTTTTTTTTTTCACATGAGATGCGTTCGGGAGGCTAAGTAACAACCGAGGCATATTTCGAATTTTAAGGGCAAATGGAAATACCCTGGTATTTTAGCGATGGGTGAAAAAAATTCTGATGCTAATGCCGCGTGAGACGCATCCAAGTGAATCCAATCTATTTTCCATACGATTTTTGCAATTCTTGTAATTATTTCACATTCATCGAAACGAGGCAGACAGTATTTAACAGGAGGAGAAGCATTTATTCCGGAATTCAAATAAAAACTCCACAATACCCGGGGAATTCCCATTAAATTAGTGATTTTAAATCGGTTATCTCGAGTGTTAAAATAAAATAGAATTTTTATGATGTATTGAGGGAGGTGAGAGGAATGGGATGAAAAAAGGGGAAAAAGTGATGAATGGAGGAGAATAGGGTAAAGGTTTTGGAGGTTTGGAGAAATATAAGGGTGTGAGGGCCCAGCATTAATATTCAAGAATGGAGTTGGAAAGGCCTTGTGGCGTCTCTGAAATATGCACGTCGGTATCCCGGAAGAATGTTTGAAAAATAGCAGTGGATTAATAAGACTGCGGGTAAAAGGCCCCGGTGGTTAGCTAGTGGCGCATAAAGTTGCACCTATATTTCTTGAGCGGCTCTCCCGGCCACTAGTTGTACAGAGTTGAATCCCAGTGTATATAGAGTACTTGGGGTAGGGTAAGGGTTGAGTAGTGAACCTGCGTCACGGTTCGTTCCTACGAAGGATTACAGCCACATCCGCGGTACTTCTCCTGTTGGCTCTTCTACTTGCCCCTCACCTCCACACTATTTAACTTACCTCTCAACCTCACAGCCCTACCTCGCCTTTCTTCTCTTTAAACTTAACACATACGGCGGATGCCGGGAATTTAGTGCTCGTTACCCCCCTATATGCGTGTTATGAAAATCACCGTGGGATGTATAAATATGAGGGTAATGGCTATCCTCCGTTGCCGTTTTATTTATTTGCTTTTATGCGTGATTAAGGTTGTATTTCACACACTCGTCATTATGCAGGATTGTAAGTATTTGGTTACCGGGCTTAACTTGCTCATTTTCCCTTTTTATAAGACACGGTATTGTTTTTTAATTTCTCACATAATTTCGGTGATACTTTGTTCAACAGGTTGTGAATATTCTATTTTATTTTATTCTTCGCTATATATTGGGTATTTATTGGGAACAACTCATCAATTTTTTTAACCTCGAAATTATTAAGAATATCCCAGAGGTGTTAATTATAAAAATATAATTATGTATGTCACTCGATTAAAGGAGGGTAAGAATAAATTTGGGATTCAAAGTAAATTGCCTCCACGAAGATGTAACTCATGGAATTGGCAACAATAGATCCTAGATCCCACCGGAGAGTATTTTACCTGGTATCATTACCATTATCTCTGATAATATACTTCTCACCTCGGTAGGGTCAAGCGGGTAGCATAACGTTACGTAGAAACCATTTCTGCAATCCAATTTCCATGAAGGTATACTCAGGAGAGAATATACAGTTGAAAAGGGATGGAGAAAGGGCCTGAGGGCTTTACATCCCGAAATGATCCTGTACTAGAGACCAGCCATTCCCCTATTTATACTGAGGATCTTTTTACCAAAGAGGAGAGGTGAAAATGAAAAAATGAGAATCGCCAAGTGGAAAATTCAGGTGCACCGCGTTGTATCGAGTATCAGATATTCCGTCGTAACGCTCGGGGAATCGTTTTCTCGTGAGAAAACTTTTCTGATCAGCTGGTATTCTGGCGACGAGGGGTAAAACTTATGTATAGAGCAAGTTGGATACCAAGTCTTCTCGATTAAGACTCAACTCACCATCCCCACCATTTTCCATGAAACTTTTATACACTTTTAACCGTTGTCCGTGATACGCATATATTAATTTACGCCGAGAAAATGTGTCTCGTTATTTTATTTTCCGAGCTTAACCGGATTAATAAATTAGAACTCTAACTACGTTGTGGAGAAAAAATCGTTGAGTTTATGAAAGTTCTTATCCAAATGAAAACAGGATGATTAAATGGGTTTTAGTGCTGCGGTGAAATTTACTTTTTCATTCTTTTATTTTTAATTGCTGATGATTAATTTATTCTAGGCTGATTATAATGATTACGAAGGAATTTCACGGATTTGGAAATGACATTCAAAAAAATGGAACAAAGTCGAACATTATTTTTATTTATAAACGATAATTTCCTATGAATTTCGAACAATATATTTTACAACAGGTCAAGACGATCGTAATGTTTTTCTCCAGTATATTTTAATGAGCAGGTTTCACTATATAAGTCCCGTGCATGTTCTCCGATATTTATTATTTTACGTGCTCGTACCAGCTAGAGGAAAAAAAAATCAATTTTCCATGGTAAAAATGTGTCGTTCTCCTTGCTGCTTTGCTTTATGACTTTCAATATTTAAAGTAACTTGGGAAAAAGGTATCTCATCTCTGTCAGCGGTGGCACTTTCAAAGTCTGAATCTTCGTATTCCCTTGGAAATCCCTGTATAACCATCTTGAGACAGACCACCCTCCTCCCTAGCTCAGGGGACCGATCTCATCCACTTCCGTCACAGTGACGAAAAGAAGAGGAACCTCAACTCCTCTATCTCCACATTCAGTTTTTCCCTCTCCAGCATTTTACTTTTCAATCTCTCCACCGTGTGTGCCAGCAGAGATGCGATTTTCTTCTCATTTTCCCCCCCACCGGCTCCACAATATTGAGTGGGAGGAGTGGGCCATGAAAATAGTTGAGTGAATCAAGTTCAGTGGCTGATGAAAATATCTCGACTTATTAAGTACCCAATTATCCACGAGGCTACGAACAAATTCAATTTTGTCGTTGATTTAACCACGGCTAAATATGCCGGGAAGGGATAATCCCGGGGTGAGACTCATTCCGCGAAAATTCTCATCCTCATCTTCAAACTACGTAATTATTTATAACTACCTCGGTGTCCCTTTGAATTAGTTAACGCGGAATTTACTAGCTGAAAGTGCAATATTCAATTAGACTGTCATTCCGAGTTAGTAAAAATATCGTGAAATCCTAATATCATCGTTGCTCCAAGTTTCGATGCTATTTATTAGTCATTAAATTATTTTATTGCTATTTTAATGGTTGAGAACTCGGAGTAATGGTTCAGGGGGTGAGGACACCCGCGGTTGTGCAACGAGACAATTAAATTTTGGTGAGGCACTTTACCTTTGGGGGGAGAATATTCGAAATAATCATTTATCATGCACCATTGAATTGAATTAAAATATAAAATATAAAAATTTGAACTAAGAATTCACAATATTGACAATTGAGATGCAATAACTCTCATTAATAAAAATCTGAGGAAGCCTGAGAATTTAACTAAAAAATTTCCAACTGAACTCGAATCTTCAAACTTAATTCGTAACTTCTAGGCCTGGCATTAAGATTTTTAACAATCTCAATCTGCAGCGTTGAAATGCAAATGTCTCCATTACAAATGCAAATAATTACCTACATCCAGAATAAGGTTTGGAATTTTTTTTCCTTTCAACAGTGTAATTTCACGGATAATAAAACGACTAGGCCATGAATAATTAAGACGAATTGTTATTTCTCTTCCCTTAGCACTAGTTTTATTGGATTTAAGAGAAGAGCGTCTCTATGGATTCCAGAACTGGCGCATCGTACTCGATATTTCGTAAAGTCATTAACAAGTCAGTCACCTATTTGATAATTGAGGTTTAAAGTCACCGAGGGAATCGAGGCGAACTAAAAGGCATATATGCGAAGCCATGTGAATATAATACGGCCATTGACATGGAGGATATACTTGTAGGCATAAAGCTGTGGAGTACGGTGTGAGCTCGTGTCGCACCGGAAGTACTATCCCGACATTGTGACAACGGGGGGTTTCGTTGATACAATTACCGACGGGGTGTCCTCACCACCCACCCACCCCGGGACACATTAACACAGTGTGTGTTTCTTGGAGCTGAGGAAATTTCCTCCCTCTTTCCGTGACTTCCGCATTAACTTGGGTGAGGGCAAGTATCAGTGGAGCACTCACGTGCCACTTGAAACACAGTGAGTTGCACCTTTATGCAATGCAACATGCATTATGCCATGCACCACCTGCTAAAGTGCTAACTACAAGCGAGTAATGCTCATGACATATGCCTGAGAATCATTAGTTTTATTGAATCACATGTCGTAAGGGAGATAAGGCTTTGTTGATATTTGTAATTAATCGACCGAGAGATACGACTCTAATTTATTGGAGCAATTATCACACGTGTTTAGCTGAATATTGGGCACGTATTGGTGTAATGTTGATATTACTTCATGGTAATGCGGTTATGAGGAAGAGAATATCGATCACGTCCTGCACCAATTCCCACAAAACCCTCTGTCGTTAACTTACGAAGTGAAAATTTTTATTTTGAAAATTGGTAATTAGACGGGGGATCTATCTCTCGCGTTTTATATAATATATAATTAAACTTCGGCAATTGCTACTTCAATTTTTCAGGTGTACAAATTTATAATTAATTTCAATTTTTTAATGTGAGTGGAATTTTTCTTGTGCAGGGGAAGGAATTAATCGTGATTTTCCTGAAAATTATTAGAAAATTGATAATATTTATCTACCAGTCATGGCGACTGGTGTTTTCAATCAATAAAAAAAGTCACGCAATGCAATTCCTCGGGATAAATGCATTATCCTCGTGCAATAAATCCGAATCAACTCCGAAAGTCGAGTAATTATTATTCATTTATCAGTTACATACCTCCAGCACGTGCTCTGCCTGATTCTCACGATCGAGCTTTCTTCCACTGGTTGTGATCAGACCTGGAAACATGACGTGACCATTAGCAACCATTCAAATTAATAAACGAACTTTGAGAGTAGTTGGAAGGGGAGTGGCTGGAGATTGGGAATTCAACTGACTCTGGGATTAACCGAGCCATCATGTCAGTGCATGTGAGGAGCACGCCATATCCCCGAAACTCGGCAAATATTATTGCACTTCTCCATATAACGGAAATGCCGTATTTACCCAGCAATTGGCAAAGTTTTCCTGACCGATAGAGCGACAATCTCAATACCTCATCGACTATTTCAACCCCGATGAACTAATAACGCGGTATCCAAAAGTTGTGGGAGTTGTCATGGGAAAATTTTACACCGGAAGTCGTTTTGTATCATTGCCGGATGCCGCACGCAATAACATTTCAACATCTGCAAATACAGATTCCGTATACAACGCGCAACTTTACATCGAAATAATTAATAAAACAAGCCCAGCATTCCCAGCTATTTCCGCCGATTCCGCGATTTTAAACTGAACCTTGAAAAAAATCAAAAAAAAATTTGCAGATATCCCATTAAAACCCAGCGTCAATTTGCTTTACAATAAATATAATATCTTAACAAAACATTTGACACACCATCGATTATTCACGAACATTCTACAACTTTTATCTGAATTTTATTTCGCATAATTCGCGAATCAACTGCGCCATTCTATTATTTATTTACTCTTGATAAAAAACGACAGTCTGAGAATGGATTGCCCTCGGAAATGTTGAATTTAAAAAAGGTTAAAAATGAGACAGCGAATGCGTCATGGGCCTTAGCATCATGCGCCAAAGGGTCAAGTCGTGTTTTCCACCGATTGCCGACAGTAACAGTGGCGTCAGCGGTTTTTTTTTTCTCGTCGAAGTTGGATGGTTTCACAGTAAAAATGTATAGTACCACGTTTTCAACGTCGATTTCATACAGAGCAAAGGGTATGGGATGCGCGAGCGTGCGCGAACTCGGTATACACTATTCCAACTAGAAAAGGGGAATGGGTCACATGGATTTGTTCGCGTTTGGTCGTAATAACGAGATTTCGTTTTATCGTCACTAAAATCGGATTTTCTCGTCGATTTCGCGTTGTTTCCCATAGCCAGATGTTCAAATTCTCTCTTTCACCTTTTCTCCGGTTGTATCGCTTTCTCCATTGCGCCCTTGCGACTCGATTTTTGTCGCACTCTCTCGCCGCTCATGACACACGAACGGTGAAAACCATATCGGCCAAATGCCCATCTCAAACGACCCATCTGCTTTGTACGCTTGTGATTGAAAACAACGGGATTGCGGAGGGAATGGCTTCAGAATAAAATATGCAGGGAGAAAATAGGGCGTGGTGGAATGGTCTTGCCACGCGGTAGATAGCGGATATTGCCGATACATGGACGGATTTTATTATTATGCGACAATGTTCCATTTTTTTGACTCTCATTGTTCCATGAACTTGTCACGCAATTTTCATTCCTCAAAAAAAACCTAAAAGGGCTATTATCATTCTCAATCCAGTTTTTATAAAAATTCTTCTGACAGAGAAATCTGGAATTCGATAATAAAGAGTGAGACAATGCATCGATATTGGAAGATAAATTTTTCTCCCCTCGCGGCTTTTCCACATTTCCTCGATTTTTATTTATTTTCACGGAAAAAACCGAAATGAAATTGAAAGATTTTCAGTGATAAAATTCCTTGAAAATTGAAGAGAAATGCCGTTAAAAAATGTCAGATGATAAAAATGTGTAATCGAAAAGTGGTGGATGCTTTATTCTCCGCAATATTCTCGTATGCAATATTCAGCCCGCATCGGATTTTTCCTCCCCCGATTCTCCATAGGTAATAATAATAATCGGAGTTCCTCGGCAATCCGTTGATTAATTTTCTTTCTATCCCCGGAATTTGGAGATGAGACTGTGGAACACGAGTCGCAAAATAATCCAGAATTTGCGATGACTTTTGAGTGGTGGTGTGGGTGTAGGGTAGGAGTAGTCTCTTTTCAGGATTTGCCGAGCGTGCATGATGCCCCGGATAGACAGGCATTCGCGGATCGAAGTGTAATAACCCCCTAGGTGAGTATCCGGCTCTTCTCTGATCAATGTCGAGTGAGACTCCACTCGGAGCCCATTCGTGCTATGTGTTGGCTATCCTAACCAACCGAGTGTTATCCTTTCGTTAATTACCAACAATAATTGCACTCGAATTCTTTAATTAACGCATGGTAATACTACACTACGATTCACCAGTCAATTTCCGGATAATAATGGTAATAGAAATGTCTTTAGTGAAAATTTTGCACGTCATCATTATATTGTGAGTGGAATAGCAGTGGAATTTTAGGTTTTTCGGAAAAACCATTAATTTAAAAAAATAGCAAGTGGCTATCTCCCACCAACCGAGTGTTATCCTTTCGTTAATTACCAACGATAATTTTGTAGTCAAATTCGTTAATTAACGCACGGGAAATATATACTTGACCTCGTACTTGACGCGAGTATATTTCACTCACAAATGAAAATTTTCAGTAAAAATTATGAAACTCACGTGATTGCGGAAATGACTAAGAAAATAAAAATGGGGATTTGTAATTTATAGGAGACTGTCATAAAAATGTTTAAAATATTTCTCATGAAATAGATATTGGATAATATATGGCATCTGTAGTAAAGTCATCAAACGAGATCAAATAAAATTTTTGAACTTACAAAAGGCAGGAAAATTTTTATCAAAATCTTTTTAGAAAATCTTTCCCATAATCGATTCATGGACGCCCATTGCCTCAAAATCGATTAAATCGTTCTCGTTCAATACTCGATTATTGCTCAATGATAAATTTTTTATCTTAAAGATCGACCAGAAAAATGCGGATGAGACGATTTTGTATTTTCAATTTTAAACATATAGTGGAAAAAACGATAAATTCCTAAAAATCGAAATTTCAAATGTTTTATCTTCATAGAACAGATAGGATTCTCTCTCAATGTAGATGCCCGTAAAATCCTCGACTGAATAACAGAAATTAATCCCTTCCCATTTCTCAGAAGCCCTGGTAAATGTAAATAACGATAAAAGTAATGAGATAGAGCAGGACAATAAACTGTAAAATTTTCCAATCCGCAAATGTATTCCTGCATACGCAATGTACTCCATTCGAGTCGAGAGGATAGCGTGCAGCACGCCAGTAAACCCGTGTATACCCCTCTCTCACCGTTAAAAGGTCATCGTACATGAAAGATGAAATTTGCGCTTGCCCATCCCCACCGTAAAAAAAAATCCTACACCGGGATTCTAAAAATAATAGTGCCATTTCCGAAAGCACCAACTAACTGGCACCATCAATTTCCATTCATGAGTGTATGTTTTGTTAAAGTGTCTTTTTTTTTTAATGAAAAACGAACGAATTTACCGACAACATTTGGGGCTGAAACTGGAACAATCCCCGGGTGTTGAGGGCCACGCGTCAATTTTTCATCAGCACGCGCAGGAAAAAATACGGTTTCATTTTCACCCGCTTATCCCTAATTATAAGGGTAGAATCACTGATTGATTGTTTAAGTAATTCGATTTTAACTTCTCATTTATGTGGAGTGTAACGTTTGGAATTTGGGACAATAAATAAATTAACAATTCAATTTTGATTTTCGTTTTGATTTCATAATGAAATCGTTAAGGCACATCAAATTTTCTTCGCACCTTTCCGCAATTTCGTTTTTCCCGGACCTTCCGGTTGACCCACATTAACTTCAGATCCTCTAATCGCCTCGTAATTTTCAATAACAAAATTGTGAAAATTCATATAAAATTTTCTAGAACTCGCGTGAAAAATTCTTTTCCGCGTGAAAACTCGTCTGGAAAAAATGAGAAGTTTTTTTTCTATCCTCCCTAGAGAATGAGGTTAAGAGATTAAGAGACTCACCAGTTGTCGAGTTGATGAGGAAGTAGCCCTCGGGATTGCCGCTGGTGATGGAGAATGAAAATTCCTGGGGCGAGACGTCACGATCGAATGCCTTTATGTGAAGTACACTGACACCAGCAGGTGAATTCTCGGGTACTGATGGATAATAAACCGGGTACTCGGTCAGAGGTGTGTTATCGTTCTCATCGAGTACCTCCACATAAACCTGAAAAGCACAGAATAGGAAATGCTTTCAATTTTTTCAATTAAATGAGACCTCACCAGAGCCGTATAAAACAATTACTTCGTTCAAATAACGTAACAATTGGAGTTCTGTGTTTAATTTATTTAATTTAAGCGGGGGGTGCGTCCATTGCGTTATTATTCGATTTCAGATGAAGCTATTTCAATTCGAGAGAGCTCGTTTATTTCGGCGTAATTTTAATAACAAACCTGAAGTTGCGAGCTGAGTGGTACGACACCGTGATCCTGAGCGTAAACAGTCAGCCAATATCCATTTTTCGACTCAATATCCAGGACAGCCTTCGTTTTGATATTTCCTGCAAACAGAAATATTAATAATACCATTTAATATTGTGTTTTATTGTTTTCTCTGGTGGATTTGCTATTGTACGGTACAAAATTCCGAGCGGTGTCTTTTCAATTAATCCGTTTCGTTTCGATTTCGTCCGCACAGTGAGAGATTTATTGTCATCACGTTGGAAAATAAAAGAGTTGCGTTGTCACGTGGAGAGACATTCTTTTAGAAAAAGTCCACGTAGGGAAAAGAAATAATAAAAATTGTTTGTACTCGCGGGAAAAATCCCTTAAGGTCCTGGAAAAAAAAATGTAATCGGAATATTTTTTCCAGATTTTCCAAAAATTTCTAGAAAACTTTTCAAACATTTTTTTTATAAAACAAAATAAAATCGGAAAACACAACAATTTTATATTTGGGAAAGGTTTTGAAAAATTTTTCAAAAATTTGAATAGGAAAATTTGTTTTATAATTTAGATGGCGTATTTTCTGAGAAAATTGGAAAATGAAAAAAGTAAGGAAAGGAGAGTGTAATTTTCGGAAAATTCAGCAATTTCGCAATAATGGTAATTCCCGGAAAAAGTGGTGAGTTCTGCGTAGCGAACCAGATCCTTAATGAAGGCGACTTAATTACTCGCAAGATGGAAAATGGAAAAATTTCACGATCTTGAGTTTTGCTGGTCATGGCACCTCGCACTGTCATTCCCAATCGTTTTATCCCAATGAGTTCGATACCAGAATTATTACCTGAACCCTGGACTATCTTTGCGAGCGATATATAACCGAATTGGTGTCTTTTCGGAGTAGCACGGTTCTGCGGTAAATTACCACCGACAGTAGGTTCACGGTGTGCGGGTTTTCCGAAGGCCGAGAAATGACATCGAATAGTTATCGTCTGGTTCTTACGTAGAACAGACACGGCGAAGATAAATGAAATCAGTTTGAAAACTCGTCGGAGAAAAAGTTTTCATCCTCATGAAAAGTTGAGCCTTTCACCTTTCCTTATTCGTTTTTTGTTTCCCCTCTTTCTTTTTTCCTTTATAATACCATAATCACATCATATGTTTGCTACACATGAGTGTTGCCCTTCTTCCAATAAGTTTTTCGCTCGCAGATTCCGAGTTTACAGGAAGTTTCTTGGAAAAGTATTGTTAGAAGCAGTTTAGAGTTCTTCATTGGAAATTTGTATTTTTCCGCTGGAGGCATATCGATTCCTCGGAGCGGGTAATTTTATTTTTACCTCCATTCGTTTCAGGGATTTAACGGCAACTTTTGAATATTCAGTCGTGTGTTTTAATTAAATTGAGGTGGGAGTTGTGTGGAGATGTAAAAATGGTTCGTTACGGGATGATAAGGGAATTTAACGCGAGTTTGATAGAGTTTTATGGGGAATGGAGCTCCTTTGATTTGGCACCGGGTGAACTTCATCCTCAGGTAAATTCTGAGCACAACTTCCAACCGTGTGATGACGTGTACGGGGAGTTTGGTGAGGATCAGGCAATGGAGTTTTACGACTCACGCGATCCCAGATATTGCCGATGAAACGCTCGCGTCAACGATTTCATCTTTATTTTATCAGCGATAAACACTCGTTGCTACGCTTATTGCGTCGTTCTGAAAATTTTATTGCCTTCGAAATTTGGGTGATGAATTGCTGCTGCCCGTCGATAATGGACGCAATATTTGACTGGAAGTTGATGGGACCATTTTAATTATTCCATTCCGCGTTGACTATGCCAAAATCCCACACCAGGAAAAAGAATTTTTTATTCTCGGGATCTCGTCGCAAATTCAGGGATCCCAACGTCATTTTTCGTTATTAATGTTAATATGGAGGAATTAAGTGGTTTTAGCTTTCGTTGTAAAATTTTTATTGGCGACCTAGAGTATTTTATCTAGAGCAATTTTACCTCATTACTTTAATTGAATAATTTAATTTCAAAACATTGCCTCCAGATTTAGAAGCATTTCCTAAAAATTAATTAAATCTAATTAATAATGAATATAACTCAACTCTCCAAAAAATTTGTCCCCTGAAATTCCCCTTTATTTTCCCCTCAAAGATTAGAAAAGTAATTTCTTAAAACTCAAAGTTTTTAGTGTTCACCCCGAGTGCAGAAATGATCCTTTTCTCGATTAATTATAAAATTTCCTGATCCCCTTAATGTGACCGCGTGTAACTATGAGTCCCATAAACTTAACCGTCAAAACATCCAGAATTTAAAGAACACCATAAAAAACCTCGTTGAAAATAACTAGAATATCTTTTTGTGTGAAGGGGATAAGAAAAATGCTGAATAATAAAAAAATGTAATCGTGACGGTATATTAATTGACGACACTTAAAAGGGGTACTTTAGTGACACGTGCGCCATAAACAATAAAATTGATGTGACTGGAGCATTGCGGTTAACACCGGTAAATCTTGTCTTTAAAATTCCATAGATCCCAATGTTAACATTGCGTTACCTAATTTGAATGAAACTTTCACACGTTTATTAATACATAATTCGATGGGAAGCATTTACCGTGGATTAATAACTCGTAGTTGGAAATATCCGTGGCCTATAAATAATTGGCCGATCCACTGGAGCACTGGGTGGATAAATAGTTGCAGTTGAGATATAACCGTGTGTGTAACTATATATATACAGCGATCGAATCGCCTGCATAAATCCACCTACAACTTTAACCATTATATATCTACAATGTTGGGTATATGCATGAGCATTAAGCACAAATCGCGGTTTAGCTGCCCTCTGTATCGCGGTAATCGGCCGTGCAGAGAAAAAGTTTCACTTTTTTCCCCCCGTTTTATTTCATCCTTTTCTATCCTCCTCTGACCCCAATCGCACCTTTTCTCTCTCTTTTATCAAACCCCTCGGTTAATACACTGATTTGCGAAGTTTGTTGCCAACTATTTTCACCCGCCGATCATGATAAAACCTGTAATATTGTTAACTTTATGGCATTTGTGAAGGGAAATTCAGTTTACATGGGAAATAATTGAAAATAAAGTTGTCAGGTATAGAAACGCCTCGCGATGGTGCACGAGCAATAATTAATAAATGGATTATGGAATTTGTTCATGATCGCGGTGACAGTAGATTTTTTTTGGAAAAGTTACTTGCGAAATTGAAATTATCCTCATTATAAAAATTGCTGTCCATTCATCCATTCGCACCCTGCAAATGTGATATCAGTGTGGAAATACGAATTATTTTCAATTAAAAAAATTTGAAATGAAGCCCTGGAGTTGAGAAAATCGGAGGCGCTGTTAAATCCTGGAGTTATGTCGACGTCGAGGGTCCCAGGGATCCGCCTTGGTCGTGTACTATCCCCCGAGGTTGGCTCCTTTCGAGTCCTCCCGTATCCGATCCACGACGAAATTCCATTCCCTCCTCACGTTACGAAAACTACCCCCAAAGCTCACAGAAAACTCTCCTCAAACCCCCAACACTCGCCCAATCGCGACAGCTCAAGGGCCATTTGGCCGAGGGGCCAGATCTTACACCCTTTCCGGTAACCCAGGAATATAAATATATTAGTCCTCTAAAGTACCAAGAACTTGACATCCACCTCTCCCCATAAAAAAAAAAGTAAAAAAAAATTCCCCAGAATAATCTTCCGGGTTGTGCGTGTTTTCCTTTTAGTTCAATGCCAGGGCGCATGAATTATTCTCGGGCTAATGCTCAAAATTCCTCCGCACGGAATGCTAAAATAAAGTCCTTTGTTTTCCGACTGAAGATAATAAAAAAAAAAAACCGAATAAATATCGAAAGGAAAAATGATAAAAATGCAGACGGAAGTTTCAGAGAAAATCAAATATTTATTCAACGCCAACGAATATAAAGTCCGAACGTTTTCCCCATTTCCCCCTCACTAAAAACATTACCACCCATTTTTCCCCTCCATAGTTAAGTGTAATATTAAATAATTAACAACACGAGAGTATTACTAACAGAATTAGCGAGATAATGCGAGTTTAATGCTCTGCGATGAATCGAAGTAAATGAAAATATTTCCGTTCGGCGCGAAAACATTTTCATTATTTGAAGAACGACTAATGATATTACTACCGTCGAATCGACCCCACATTACTTCCAACCGAGCGAATCATATTGATTATACAGTATTTTAATTACAACGACCTATCGGTGCTCCAATTTTTTTTTTCACGGCAATTCGCTTTGCCAGTGAGAAGTTTTTTTTTTCACACGCGATGTACGGCACCGACTCCTCATAAAATTGAAATTCAGTTGGAGGGTGTATTTGGAGAGCCCTTATTTTGTTATTTCTGGAGGGATGAAAAAATATTAAAGCCCCTGGGGATGTCTCAGGTGACATACGACAATCCCGGGGGATAGGCGAGGTGAGAGGCCTGTGTCAACGATCAAATTCAAACACGCGCCACTCCAGGAGGGGATGAAAGATGTAAAATAATTACAATGACGGTGGGAAGTCACTCTCATAGAATGCCACGACAAACTCGCGGGAATATATAGCGAACTATTTGCATATCAAACGTAACACGCGCTTTATGGATGCTGTTTCTCCGCGCCCGGGTAGGCAGGATGTGAAATAACTTTATGATGAGTGTATCAGGGTAATTTCATTGCTACATGCTGGAATTTCGTAAGTGTAACGAAAATATTAATGATACTTTAGTTTGGTAAATTGTGGCTCTGTGGAGAGTAGTGAACACCCGTCCCTTCTCTGGATTTCGAAACAGAATACGAATGACGGGATTAGATTTTATGGAATACTCGACGTATCTTTTATTTCTCGTCGTCTTTATTTTATCATTCAAGTGATGAAGCGGAACACGTCGATGACGTTATGGGTGAAATATCCAGAAATATCTCGGAATATGAAATATTTTTTTTTAATACTTCGTAATTTAGTTAATTAACATTTTCAACGGACAATTTTGATTATATTTAGTCACTTGCAAAATCATTAAAAATGACTGAATCGAGTTTCAAAAAAAAAAATAAAATAAAAATTGGGAATGATTGATTGA